ATGAGAATAATGTCCAAAATTCTACGTGTATTAATTTGTTATGCTTTTGTTGGGCTGCTGGATTTTCAACTAACCAGAAAAGTTCTGGGTTCCCACCTCCCAATTTACATGGTTATTCAGATACTTTAAATTGCTTTCCCCCCTTTTCTACAAAATCTGACTACTTGTGGCCACAGAGGGATTCAGCCAACAGTGCCTACTTTTTAGTTGAATTTCTACACATAAAAATGTACTGTAATAGTGTCCTATAATGAATTAGAAGGGCAAGGAATCCACTAGTAGAGGAAGCTGGTGGAAAATATTTCTGCTCTGAAAAGTTGCCAAGCAACTGATCTTTATTAAATTCAACCTTTGCATTTGAAGCCTGAGAAGATGAAACCAAACTGTTAAAGTGATTTAATTCTGTTTTCCTTTCATTCTGTAATGACAATAATGAAAATTGCTGTCTAATATACTGGGTACTGTGGCAATTTACAGTGCATTGTCATTAAACTCTCACAAAAACTCTATGAGGCAGAAATCATCTTCATTTAATAAATGAGAAAAGTGAGGCATAAAGTAGTATGCTTTCAGAGTCATTTTGGAGTAGTTAGGTGATAAACAGGATTTGGGGACACAGTTGATACTATAGAGAAGCTAGATTGTTTTTGTAAATAGTATCTACTTTTGCAAATAATCTGAAATTAATTCTGTGTTTATTATTAGTAAAATGAAACCACTTTTATCCTGGTTTAAAATGATAAGCCACACTGTTGTTCTTTACCCACAGTACAGAAAGCTTTTTCAAAAATGCTGTCATGGCCATGTCTATCTAAATGCATATTTATTGTCTTATGAGTAGGTACAAAACAACATACAAGCTAAGACATAAAATTAGGCCTATTTCTGCTTGTTTGAAATAAAATTCTCAAGTTTGGAAGGACAAATAAAGTGTTTTGAAAAGATCTTCATATAGTTTTTGACAATTAATTTTAATCATATATAGCTAGCTATTATCATCGGTAGGGTCAACAAATATCCATGGATAGCTAATTTCAGCTCCATTACTTAGTAGCTGTGCAAATGACTTAATTTCTCTGTATTTTAGATGTTTTTCATGTACAGACATTTTATTTGTATAAACCTCTTACTGTTGTTGGGGGGCTTAAATGGGCTAATGCCTTTTAAATACATAAAATAGTACTTAACATAAATAATAGCTCCATCAGTTTTGTAAGTTTTTAAACAAGCTGCCCCCTGACCATCCTTACCTGCATGTATGATGGTTTATCTGAATATCTGTACTTTTAAGTCGTTCATTTAAAACTAGTGAGAAGATAATGCAAGATGAGGATCTTGGCTAAGTAATTATGCTTTATAGCACACAGCTAGAATATTTTGAGATATCTGTCTTTAAACCTGTTCCTGATTATCATTGTCTGTGGTGATTAACTATTATAAACATAACAGGATCTAAAATCACCTAAGAGACAAAGTCCTGGGTCCATTTGTAAGGAATGATCTTGATTAGGTTAAGTGAGGTGGGAAGACCCACCCTAAATGTGGTGACACCACTTCATGGACTAGGATAGCAGAATAACTGGAAAGTGAGCTGAGTACCAGCATGGATCTGCTTTCTGACTATGGATGCAATGTGACCAGCTGTCTCAAGATTCTGCCATCATGACTTATCCTCATGATAGACTATATTCTATGCGAGTCAAAAAGAATCTCTTCTTCCACAAGTTGCTTCTGTCAGATATTTTGTTGTAGTTAGGAGAAAAGTGACCAACGTGATATTTTACCCTCTCCACAGAGCAGATGAGAGTGGGGGGGGGAGCGGGAGGATAGGAGGGAGGGGGAATTGGGATTGGAAGGTAAAAAATAAATTAATAAAAAGTGACCACAAAAGAGCTTACTATTTTCATAGATACATATATGACACTTAAAATACAAATGTACTAAGACATATTCAACAGTACTATGGACTGTGTCACATCTCTTAAGATCCTCAAAATCCCACTGAAGCTTCCTAATATTTTGCTTTCCCTCTTTAGTGCAGGCTAAACTTGAACTCACAGTCCTCATGCCTCAACCTCTAGGCTGTTGGGATTACAGGTGAATGCCATCCTATTTAGCCTACAGTCTAACATTCTCAACTGTAAACATACCTTGAGTAAAGAGGCAATGTAGAAAAAAGTATTAGGAAAGTAATGGTGACTCAGTTTACATACTTGAAAACTAGAGTATTTGTAACTAATAACTAAGTGTAAAAGGGCTTATATAGTAATCTGAGGTACTACACAAGAGCCATTATGAAATGGCTTGTTTTGTAATATATTCCAGAAGGAGAGAAAATTTCCTTCCCCCGATAGTGTTATAATTGGGCTGTTCATGTTGTGGGACTGCATGAGGGGGTCAAATCTAGAAGTTTTCATTGATTACTTAGCAAAGTATGAGGTACTCTGTATTAGAAACTTTGAGGTTTTGGCATAAAGATTTTTTTTTTTTTGCAGTATTAGATATTTGGTTATAGCAGGCATTTAGAAATCCTGGATGACAACTACTTAACATTTGAAATTCAACATAAACATCATGTTTGTTTGCTTGACTTCCCAGGCTTCAGTTCTAGAGCTAACATGTTAGACACATTTTTCTACTTACCTGAAACAACTTTGCTATCTTCGAATGATTCTTACCTTTGGGTTATTCCTACCTTACAGGTAGAATTTAAATTTTATTGACCCTTGTTTCCCCAGTGCTTGGGTGATTTTATGTATATATACAGCAAATGTTAGCTGAGTAAACTTAACAAATGAATTAGTTCTGGGGAAAATTAAGGACACAAATTTTCTGTACTTATAGGTACATTTAGTCACTTAAGATCTGACTTTGAAAGAATCATATTACTATGAGGTATGATTATATTTTCAATGTTCAATAATTAAAAAGAGAACTTTCCCGACTTTCTTTTGCTTAACATGCACACATTTATTTTCTTCTCAGTTATTAAAAAGAAATACTAGGAATCTATAGACTATATCAATTTTCTAAATTTTAAGGTGTTTTATTTTCCTGGGAGAGAGACGTTTTATAGAACATGACAGAATCAGGCCCTTTAAAATGTATCCTGAAACATGGGTTTCTGTGAGGAAACCTCAGAAATCTATGGGACCTCCTGTAGAAGCCCAGTATTTATCCCTATCATAGGTGTGGACTTTGGGAGCCGATTCCATATAGAGGAATACTTCCTGAGCCAAGACACACGGGGGTGAGCCTAGGCCCTATCCCAAAGGATACGAAAGACTCTGATGACACCCTATGGAAGACCTCACCATCCAGGGGGAGCAGAAAAGATAAGTTACAGATAAGGTTTTAGTTGGGGGCGGGTAGGAGAGGACAGGTGGGAGAAGGGAACTGGGATTGTCATGTAAAACAATCCTGTTTCTAATTCAAATAAAAAAAAGTTGGAAAAAATGTAGCCTGAAATTAGTAACAATCTGTCGTTATTCAAGTAAGAACCCAGTGACCCCAGGAAATATGTGACTATATTTGCTGATAATTTCCCCTTATATAAAGCATTTATCCAATTTTTTATGTGTAGAAAAATCTAGTATGTAAGAACAGAAGAGCAGGTGTACTATATGTCCTACCTAATAACCGCTGGTCAGCATGTACTTGTGAAATAAATAAAACTTTTATATTATCTCATGCATCAGGATAAGGAGGAATAACAAAAATGACACATTTCTCTACTTACAATAGTACAGAAAAAAGTTTCAAATACCTCTAATATGTGATAGTTTGACGTAAGTGCAACCATAATAGTATAATTAAGAAGTTATGTTAAAACTATGAACACATGATAAAGAAGCACATGCACAGAGATGCACACAAGTGAATATAAGTGCTCATGTTCCTTTTAAATTCTTTACTACCATCACCGTGTACCTGTGTGTGCATGTATGTGTGTGTAGTGTGTAGGGGTTTGTGTATGTGTCATGGTACATATGTGGATGTACCATGAGGTAACATATACGACAGACTAGCTTCTGAGAGTTATTCTACTTTTTCAGCAGGTCCCAGGGCCCAAACTCAGATCATGCGGCTTGAACGGCAAGCACTTTTTACCTGTGGAGCCACCTTACCAACCTTGGTGTCAATTCCTAAGATTAATTTTTGGCAAAACTTTACATATCTAACTTTAGCCAATAGTTTTAAGGAAATTAAACATATGTAAGAAGAAATGAATCCTCTTCTGGGAAGAGAGGATGGAGTCAGGTTGAATTAATCGGGAAGGATCTTGTCTTTTCCCAAAGTCTTTGTTCCTCACTCTAAAGGATCAGTTTGAAACTGGACAGGGAAAAGGATAGACTTCCAATTAAAATCCATTCATTTTACATTTTAGGTACCTTCACAGGCAAATATTGGAGAGACCCTGTATCAATTTCAACTATTTGTGACTGTGTGACCTTAGTTATACTATTAAAAATCCTAACATAGTAACTCTAGGTTAATCTATGCCCTAAATAAGGTTTGTCCTTTCTAATTAAAAATTTTCTCTACTCAAAGATAAGATCAATCATCTAGCTTCTTAAAAGAATATAATACCTCAGCAAAATTTTCCTCAGCAAAATCTATCTAAAAGGTTCTTTAAAAATCCTCGAGGATTAATAAAATAATTTTATTTCAAAGAAATCATGTTGCTTATAAGTATTTACACTTATAAATCTCTTGACCGATTTTAATTTTGTCATCTATCATAGAAGAAATACATGTGATTCTAAGATTTTCACCTGCCATTCTGAGTTAAAATCTTTACTAGCTTTTGGAAAATCTCACAACATTTTCAATATCATGTCTTAAATTTTTGACAGTCTACCTAGAAATACATGATGACACTGATGAATTTTAAATATTTCAGAGTAATCCAATAGTCTCACAACTCCAAATGTCTTAAAGGTAATCAAGAAACTCAGGGAAGATATGTATTCTTATATAAATAAGTGAAGAACTCTTACCATAGGTCGGTGTGCTTTCTCGTCTTCCTTGACTACTTGATCTTCCTTTTTCATATTCATAGCAATACAACACAGTATCTTCTTCCACAATGTTAAATCTCTTTCGATACTCCTGATCCAGAAATGAGTTTGGGGATTCAGATCCCTTATGAACTGGCTTGCCCACTATATGTCCTCTGAGGTCTTCACAAGGAAGGTTTCCCTTTTCATCCCTAAAGCAAAGTGAAGATAGAGGAGATGGGTGTAGTATTAGGGCCATACAAAATTAGAGGGGCCTTAAAATATAAAATAGCATTCTCTTACAATGTATTTTTAGATGTTTGTAGGATTTCTTTGAGAATTATAGGGTTAGTTATAATTATTCATATTTTGTTCCAAATAATAGTCAGGTTGAACAACTTTCCTCAGTGTCGTACAGATAATAAAGGACAGCTAGAAATACATCATAGATCTTCTACCTTCTACTCTAATCCATTTTTACTATATGTAATATCATAGGAAGAAAAATAATTTCAATACATAAATTAATTTTAATTGAAGGATAGATACTAGGTATAATGCTAACAATTTAACAACGTTTCTTTCCTGTTTAACTTAATGATTTTGATAGAATTTGTGTTCCTGAAGAATACGGTTATTCACGATTCTATCACCAATATAAAGGCAAATTATGGTCTTATGAATGATATTAGCACCACAGAAATCAGTATTATAAGAAGTTCAAACAGTAGGTTCTTAATGTAAATGGGTTTTAATGTTAATGATGACTATAAATATTCTAATTCTATGTATTTCCTGAGAGTAAAAGGATGTATATATGGGAATCATTTAGAAAGAATACAAAAAAATTGCACCTTGGCAATGTTTCTTATGGAAGAATGGCAGAAAATATGGTAAAATATGGAATTTAGGAATGAGATTTGGGGAACAGCAAATCCACTCTTTCATCTGGAATAATTTAAGGAGAAATTTTAACATTTCATGGGATTCCTAAATCCTATTGTCGTTATTTTAAAATCTTTTTCTAAAGTTTCATTTTATTTTTGTGCTTTTTGTTATAATTTAATTTTTAATGAAAATCTCATGTGCGCTCAATGCATTTTAATCACATCCATCCCTCAGCACACACTTTACTGCTCCACCTTCTCCTTGGCACCCTCATATTACCCCCCATTCATATCTCTTTTCATTTTCCCCCTTTATATTCTGTGAAACTTCTAATGAGCACTGCTCAATTTCTTTGTGAGAATGTCTAATTTGGGTTCAATGTTTTCCGCATAAGTGGTCTGAGGTGCAAGGTCATAGTTTTTAGAAAGTAACAGATGACCGAGCTTGTAATGAAAGGTCCTTCCCAGGATTAATTTAACACATTATTTATCTTACGAAATGTTTCCCTAGGTATGTGAGAAGTTCTTTGTTTAAAACAATTTGTCTTCTAAAGCATGACAAGAATGGAATGCTATGTTTTGTCCTGTAGTGCATCACTGGGTTCCATTGGTTATAGGTGTTTCTTGTTCCCCTAAAGGGTACCATAAATGGGTTATCAAACAGGGAAACATTGATTTTACATCAAAACAAGACTAACATCTTAAAAACTTAGAAAATAAACCTGAGTCATATTTTAATTAGCTTCTATTGTACCATATAAAATAGTGATCAATTTGTTAAAGTATGCCAATTTATGAAATATGAGTCTCATTCTACCAAAAATCTGTATTTCTATATGTTTAGTAAAATGTTTAGATTTTGAAATGCAGAGAACTGTAATCCATTTTAAATGTATTTTAAATATGTAGAAAGCAATAAATAATATTCTCAAATCTGACTCAATCAGAAAGCTGCCTTATTTATTTATTTCCTTACCAGGCAAAACTATCATTTATATAATCATTTACTTTTTGCTTCCCAAAACAAATGCATTGCTTATTACTGAATTAAAAATATGTAACCGGTTCTTACGAAACATAAAGAATACAAATATACATCTCAGCACAAATTTCAATTTTCATGAGTGGAAAGCATTTCTTGAACTAATTGCCTGGTAATTTTGTTACTGTTAAGCTCTCTATTGAAAAGAAACTGACATTGCATTTAGCTTGGAAACAGTTGTAGTGAATTCATAACACAGGAGAAAGGTTATGTTTATCTGTAAACTTGCACATTTCTCTATGAGGCCCATGACATGAATACTAATGCAGCTTGTACCAGAAGGTAATTTAGAACTATTGATTTCCTACATTATATTTAATAAGACATTTTCTGTGGTAGAAAATTATACAAGCTCGCTTTTCCTATAATATAGTGTTATAGAGTAGCAGCCTTTTATCAACAGGTCAGGGTTATTAAACATGTCTATAGGAACATACTTAATAATGTTAAATTCAGAAATGTACCAAGAAAACAAAGAATTCCACTGGAATTAAGTAATAATATATACAAGAATGCAAATATAATTAAATATATACATGTGTGCACATGTATTTATTTAATATGAGTTTCTGAAGAACTTGATGTATTCACTGTAATATAAATACTTTTCTTAAATTTATATGTGCATATACAAACATAATAAATGTATGCCTATGCTCCAAATTTAACTATTCAGATTAAAGGATCACTACTCTAGTAAATAATCTTTACACTTAATGAGACATAGTAGAGTTAATAAGACAAATTAGTTATTATAGCTCATAATTGTTTAAGGACCTACACAAAATTTATTTACAACATAGGGAAAAAAGTTTAGTTAAGTACAAAATATAACTTGTATTATGTTTATATACTATCAAGATTCCTATCCTATAGAAGATGCCTTTGCAATATTCCTTTAATGAGCGACTAAAATGTGAGATAGTAAATACAACTTCTCACTTTTATTTAAGAATGTATAAAAGACACCTATAAACTGTATCCATTCAAAAACATAAGAAATTTGTACATGAAACTGACATTTCTTGAGGCTTCACAGGCAAAAATCCTTCCTTATTATTTGCCTTGTAAAATAATTTGGTTATTTAATATTACTCCCCTATCATGTGAGGCACGTGTAAGATCCTGTCCAATGAATACTTAATAAAATATGGTAGTTATCATTATTAACAAAAGTGCAATTGCTATAATGGGAGGTGCTTTCTAGAATGTGGTTAGAATTCCTGAGAACAATATTCAAAGTGTTCTTTAAGAACTGACTTCATATTTTAGAAACTTTTAGACTAGCCTTTTGCTAGAAGATGCCCAGAGTAACACCGTTGGTAGTATATACCTGGGGATATATGGTTCTGCAGGAGGAGGGGGGATGTAGAGATCCTGGAGGGCAGAACTGTCTCTTTTGGTAGGTGTACTGATGGTGCTGGAGGGCGTGGCAACGCTGCTTGTGGGACTTCTAGGTATAAGAGGCTGGTTAAAATGAAAAAGAAAATACATACGCACACAAACAACACAGAACAACAACAATGACACATAGTTATCATTTAAAAATGATCTGTTTACACAAAGTTTTCATCTTGGCTGAAATCAAGAAAAATGTTATTTACCATATAGATATTTCTTTGATCCCACCACCCAAAGAAATAATACATAAAGCAGTTTCCCATGCAGTTCCCAACTCACCTTTTCAATGATTTAATCATCCAAAAGCTATTTATAAAGTAAAAATACCATTCAATGATTCAAAATGAGAAGACTCATGTCACTCAAAAAAGCAATGTATTTAAATTAACTTTGCCAGAATTGCACTTTTGAAAGCTAATAAAAAAGTAATTCATAAAAGAATTAACTTCCTCACATTCTGACTGACATTTGACAAACTATAGTATTACATTAGTAAGAATGTCATGGATGCTCAGAGAAGGTAAAAATGGCTATCAACACAGGAGAGAATTTTCTAGGAAAGTGTACTTCCTCTCAACATAAGCACAGATAGCCATCTGTTCAGAGCCATTTTATATCACATCTGTGAAAGCATGATGAATAAGGAGACACAATCACTTCATCTTTCACAGGCACATATATTACCTGCTATTTATCACTCATCCTTAGTTGCATGCCTAAGGATCTCCTGGATTTAAGTACTGAATAGGAAGTTGCCTTCTAAAGCTAATGTATAAACTGAATTAATGACGTATCAGTCTTATGAGCATTCCTAATTTTCAAATTCATAGTATTTGAAAATAATCTTGTGGATTGAAAAATCATCCTAAATTGAAACTCAAATTTACAAATATTTATATTTATCTTACCGATATTACTGATTAAGTATACATACAGTTAACATTAAAATAAATATCTCAATGGAGCCTCAAACACAATGATAATGACCACAAAATGAATTGCATCTGCATATGACAAAATGGTGATATTTTAGCCAGTATGAAACACATTTGGCTCATCTAGATGATAGACTGACAATTCTACTACTTCAACATACACTGCTGGACACTCAAATAAATGCATATTACAACTACTTTGCACTGTAACATTACTTTCATGCAGATAATCAAAAATTGTTTGAAAGCCAGGCATAACTACAATGGAAATTACAATGTAGGTCACTGAGATAAGCTATACAATTTGGGACTCCATTAATGATTTTGACCTTCCTCATTACACAGCTCACCTCAATAACTTGATATCATCCTTCCAGACAAAATGACAGTTAAGTTTAAATGTATGTGAAATCAAAATTAAAGACATCAAAAGGAATGATAATGTATGAAATCTTAATCTTCTTTCATATATGACTTAAAATTGTCAGAAACTTTATATATCAATTAAACAGTTTTAGTACATTATGACAGTATGCAAGAAAGACTTCCCTGTCTGACAATATAGTTTCTTTGGAATAAAATCCAGTTAATCTATGCCTGTCCTATAGAAACAAAATTCTTGGCAATGAGAAACTCAGAGATATAGATGACTAGAAGAGTCGTTTGTATTGATGATGAATGTCATGAAGCCCAAGGATATTAAACAAATGAATTCTTTGTAAGGCTGTGTTTCATGCCTCTGTAATATTTGAATGTAATATTCAGTGATACATACACATGCACACACACTCACACTCATATTTACTGTGACACGATGCTTATAGTTGTTCTGTTCTGTTGTTTTCTTTTAGTTCTAAATACAGACAGCTCTAATAGACAAGCAGTGAAAGAAAATCTTACTGCACAGCACATTAATTTGCAATACATTAAAATCAATTTACTATGAAAGAAAAACTAATATTTAGTATTCTTTTCTAATGCACTAGTATAGTACTTTAACTTTAAAATAACCCAATAGTACAAGTGAACTTAAACCACTTTCTAATAATGTAAGCTTTCAATAAAAAACAATCTAACATAAATTTTCATTGTTTCTCCCTTTATTTTAAGGTTACTAACTAAGGTTACTATTTTAAGGTTACTAATAGTTTGAAGATGTCTCTCCATTCCTTTGGTGATCTATAGCTTTTACTTGTTTGCTTAGTACCTATTTTCTTCTTCCCATTCCCCCACAAAACAAAGAAAAAAGGATTTGCAGTTAACTTTTACAAGGATATTTAAATATACCTTAAATATGAGGTAAAGACTAATAGAATATTTATACTGCCTAAGTTTCCATCCTAGGAGATTAAAGCATTAGCAATGCCAACTTCCTCCAAATTTCTATATTCTCTACACTTCAACAAGGAGTTGCAATTAATGTCATCAGTAATTGTGAATCACTATACTGGAAAATTAATGTAAGAAAAAACTTAAAATGTTCAAATAGATGTCAGGTTTGATTATGTTGCCCTGGTCCAGTTAATTGAACTTCTTTAAAAGTCCAACCTGTTTTTTACAGAACAAAAGAGAAATTAGTCAATTCTGTTGCTGAGTTCAACAGGCTATTTATTTTACTGATAGGTAAATCATAAGAAGTATTTTAATGGGTTTATTTTGTGGGTGTCATCTGGCTTATCAGTATGCTCTATGTCAATTAAAGCTTATATAGTAAACATTCAATATACAGGCAATTATTTTATGCACTATTTGAGCTATTATCATCAAGCTAAGCAGAGTTAGAAAGAAAACATCAATTTTGAGAATCATGTTAAAAATCAACTTTGATATTAGCAATGAAAAATAAACTACGTCCTAACTTTAAAAACACTGCGATCAAGAATTGAAATAGTATAAAATTAAATGACTGAAAGAATTTTGAAATCATTAAGGAACTTTAGGAAGACAACAGCAGTGTAACAGCATAGAGTAAATGAAGAAATTAAGATGAAATTAATTATTGGGAAATTCCTAATTTTTATAAGATGTATGCAAAAACAAAACACAAAAGCCATCCAATACTAGTGTGAAAATGCATGGAAAGTGACAGATTTAGTGTCCCTCAATTAAAAACTAAGGGTCTTTTAGAATTCAATTCAAACTTTAAAAGGTATATTATTTGACTAAAAATTACAAGGAAGAAAATTTACTAAAACTAAACTATAGCTTCTCTTATACTAGAAACATTTACTATAAATCATTTCATTGTAACAGTTATGATTATACTAGTAAGGATTTGCATTTTCAGCAAAAAGAATTGATGATTTTTTTTCCTTCACAACTTTAATATGTTTGGGGAAACACGTATGAGGAAAAACTATCAGCAATTGAGGGTATTGTTTTAAGACTACATATTGTCGAATAGCTTCAATACAACATGGTACTATGGTATGAAATCAAGTGTGATTTAGATCCATTTTGAATTCCCATCCAAACAATTTTATTTAGTAGGATCTTGTCATGACATCCAATATGGTTCTTATGGCATAAAGCTCTTCTTCAATAAATTAGATGGCATTCTGTCACAGAAGATAATCTGTGTGTGTGTGTGTGTGTGTGTGTGTGTGTGTGTGTGTACATTTATGTTTGTATGTGTGTGTATGCTGTGTGCACCTTACTCTTGTAAATTAAGTCTGATAAAGTATTGTAGAACACTGCCATTTATGTTTTTAAATTTGTATGCATCTCTTTAAATGTACATTTAGAAGCTTAATGAGTACTTGCTATTATCATCAGGACTCAGAAATCTACTTAGAACTTATATAGGCATTTTCCCCATCATTTTAAACTATATAAATATCTTAAAGACATAAGTCTAAAATGTGATATGTAAATGTAATTGTCAAACAAAATTTTTAGCTTTTATAAGCGATAAGTGGATCATTACTTTAAATCATTTGATGGACCAAGTCTTTTCTTCTTTGTGCTTTGTGTTCCGCAATTTTAAAAATAGCACATCTGTGATGTACTGCTATATATATTATGTATATCTATATATCTATGTCTATATCTATATCTATCTATCTATCTATCTATCTATCTATCTATCTATATGAAATTTCTATGGCAAAGATTATAAAAAAGAATGTCCACACTTATGCAACTAAATTTGAATTTTAAGTTTCACTTGAAATATTTTATATTTTAAAATCTTTGGCAAGCATATCTTAATTTAGTTGTCCCTCAGTAAATGATCCAACAAAGTTAGAGATATAAAAGTCTTCAATGAAACCAGTGACATTGAGGCAGGCCCAATATTAAAAACTTTAAACACTGCAATATTACTTAGTCCCAAAATTCACTTATGTCAAATTCACATTAAAACTTGTTTTTCCCTTTCAGGGGTAAAAATGTCAATGGAGATACAAATGATTACAGTAAGTATATAACCTAGCCATTCATTTTATTTATTCATAGAAATAATCAGAGAGTTCAGCTGATCACATGACCTCAATTTCCTAGCACAGGACAGTCTTTACGTCCTTATACAGTTCAGGCACATTCTTATTAAGTCCCCAGTGCTGCTATCATTTAGTACCAGAATATTGCTTTATATTAACAATTATTTGCTTGATCATTTTAACAAATGCTCCAAAGAAAATGTATTCTGGGTTTGAAATCAGGAACTTGCATACAATCTTGTACATTTCATGAACACTTAAAGAAGGCTAGATATAATTTTAAAAAGTAATGTGTACATTTTTACCTGGACAAGCTTTTTCTAAGTGAGAAATTATTTCAACAGATCTTAAGCAAAATATTTGCATGTATTTAAAAGTTCTCCCTCAGCTTCTCAGCTTCTACTAGAATACAATTTTATGAATACAAAACATTGTGTTTTTATAAGCATGTAAATTTCATGTTGTTCTTACTATACTATAAATAAAACAATGTTTTAAGGCAATGGATATAATCAGGAGACCTTAGATCCTTGATTTTAAATAGCACAGATATATGGACACAAAAATATGTATGTTATTATACAATATATAATATAGCTTTGGAGTCATATTACAAAATAGCATTTTCCACCAAATCATCTGTATACTATACTGATGATAAAGCTAGTGTATGTAATTTTGTGCTGTTCAATCTTATGTGCATAACTAAATGGCAATACTAAAATTGAAGTTATGTGTTCCAAAATATAATTATCAACATTCTGAGATATTAACTGAAAAAACTACATTGAACATTGAGGTTTTACTTGAAACACTTTACATTTTAAGATCTCTGAAAAGCATAGCTTAACTTAATTGTCAACTGTTTAACAATGGCTAACATCATATCATAGGTTATTATTTGCAGTCCGTGTTAAAACAGTAAAAGCATTTGGCGGAAACCCACATGTGTTACTTAATTCTTTATTTGAGTGTTTAAACACTGATGAACTATAAGTGATTTGTAGCTGCTTATAGCTATTTCCTAATTTGAGTATGTAAAACACAGAAATACTACTGTTGTCCAACCAGAACAATTACATTTTTAGTTAAAATTATTTTCTAGTATTATACCTCACATAAAATATTTTTTTCACAACATGCTCTTAAAACAACTCGCAGAAATGTACAAACTTTCTTTCACTAATGTTTGTTTAATAACATCAACTTCCATCTTGGATGTTAAAATAAATTTTATTGCTATTTCTGTTTTGACTTTTACACAATTACTTTAACCATTTATATTTTATGTACTTTAAATTTAATGTGATCACCATTCTATAGTTGTTATAACAATTGATATTCAAAATTGACTGCTGTTGACTATTTTCTTTCTGCTCAAAGTCCTTTAAATATCCTGTAAATTGCCATCAAGGTTAATTAAATAACAAAATTTAAGTACAAAATCACAAATCAATACTAAAAACTATGGCATCAACATAAGAAATTTATAGAGTAGAAAACAGTTTAGGAATATACTACTATTCATAGAGCTTAATGTGAATTTTTATAAAATGTCTTGAACAATAACTAAATCAGTTTTTTGAACTCTAGCATTGATTGAGCTGAGATGTTTTTCTCCACCAAAAGCTGGGTTCTTCAACAGTTTTAAAAATTCATTGGTTCCCAGTGATGATTTAAGGAGATTTCTTGGCAGGGTCCACCTAACTCTTCCATACATCTCTTGTAAGAAGAAAATGACTGCCCACATGTTCTTGTTGCAATGAATCCTAGGTTACTACCACAAACTTCTAAACATATACGTGTGGTCTATCCAGCACTCACTCGAATTTCTTTCACTGATAGAAGAATGTGACTATATGCAATCACCATGCTTACCCACATCCTGGAAATTAGCAGAGTGTCACTAAGATGATTTGAAAGCAGCTCTCAGAAGGCAAGATTCCCTTGTTTACCATCTTAGAACAAAAGATTGTATCTCACAGGCAGACAATTCTGCTACTCATGAAAGTATACAGATGACAACAGAATTCAATTTTTCAGATGTAATTAAGTTTGGTCATTGTAGCTAATTAAGGGATCTTTAAGTCCTTCAGTTCTATCAACAAATGTTTGAGAAAATAAAATTGTATCAAAAGAGCTGCCAAATTTCATGAAATGTGCTGATGAAATTTCTCTGTGAGCATGAAGTTGAATTGTATGCTTTTGCTTATTTGGCTATGATTTTCAAAGAAATTCCAAATCAAAATCTGCCATTGCAGTTAATTAATATTAAATGGCCCTATTTTAAACAGTTCAAAAATAAATATCTTAGGATACATATGATATTTCATTTGCATAAGTAAAACTATTACCATATTTGTTTGAAATCATTGGTTTGAAAAAGATGTATGCACTAATTTTGGCCTACATGTTAAATCAATTACAATATGTATTTGAAAAAAATTATTAGGTAAGCTAAGCCTGGTATTAAGAAAATGAAATAAATATGCTGAATTAAATAAATTCCACCGTTTCTTTGCATAGCTTTTAATTAAACTAAGTCCTACTAGATTACTGGCACACTTGACAAAAACAACTAACATAATTCAAACTAAGTTTTTATATTGAATTATATTTAAATGACTTAATATGCATTATGGTCTCAGCCAATTTGTATAGACACCAGAACTAAGAAAACAGTAAAAGTCACTTGTGTCTACATAGAGGACTGTTATTACATTAGTTTTTATGGTTCACATCTGAGGCTGATTCTCAGGAACTAGGAAGACAAATACCTCATACAATGGTATGAAGTAATCCATAATTGCTATCAAATCTCATCCTATTATTTGACTTTTCCTCTCTGGGATAGTCTGCATTCAAACTCTACATTTTGAAATTTTAGGAGTTTCCACCTTGTCTTGTTCTCCAATCTGTATTATATAAAAATTCTAATCAGGTAATTTCCATGAATCCTCAAGGTGTATTGATTTAAGTACAGATGAACGCCTTAAGATCAAGAAAGAACTCCATAATGGTATAATATCCAGTCCTCAAAGTAAGTCTTAGGATCATGTGATGGTGGTGCTATTGTAAATTACAGAACACACTCATTCTTACTCCTAAGAATTTGTTTTAGCACTGCTAGGAAGAATTTAATTAAAATGAATTCTTTCCCTGCTGCTTTGCAAAAGTCAACTTTGAAGTTATTTTCAAAGATGTTAAAGGTAGTTTTGTTTTCCCTAACTGATGGTGAACTTTGGGCAATACATTTAGGTAACCCCAATTCAGTTAAATAAAACAGTTACAAATGTATTGATATACATACATGTACTTATTTAAATTATCCCCTCTAGATTTTATTATTATGAAAAAGTAACCATAAAATATTCAGCACAATTTAGTAAGTAATGAGGACTATATCTATAATCAATGATCTGATACTGTTGGTTTATAGACATTTAAGAATGGGCCTAAAACAGTACCTTAAAATATGTTATAATTATATTGTAAGCAATGATGGAATTAATTTAAAAGTCTTTGTCTTCTAACTTTAAAAAAATCATGTGTATGTATAACATGTAAAATACTAGCTTTTTATTATTTTACTTTCTTATATAAAAGTGGTAATTGCTGTAACATTCATTATCTACTCCAGTTTATGCTACTGGGAAAAGATCTAACAATGAAATATGATTTGATTTTCTAAACAGACTATTTCAAAGTATGTGGATCAACAAAAACTAGAATCTGTTTGGTGTTCTTGTCCTTTATGAAGGTCTACAGAAGAGTAATAAATTTATAGATATTTAAAGAGGACCATCTAATAACTGAAAGTGTGGGGTTCTTCTTCAGTGTTCCCATGCCTTCAAACTTTGAAAACAGGATCTTTGGCACAGACATGTCAATAGAAAATTCCAGAGTAAACCAACAAAGCCATTTATAATGGAGCAAATTAAAAATTATATTATGGAAAATTCTGATATGCTTACATATGACCTAATGAGGCAAATAGCCTCAGAACATTAACAAGCACATTCAATATTTTGGTATAAATAAATATTGTAAGCCATGCATTTAGACATTTTAATGAAATCTACATTTATTCATTTGAAGAACAGAAGTTTCACATTAGAAACCTTACTTCATCTTACATAGCAGAGGTAATAATGAAACTTTTCTAACATGAAAAATGGTCAATATTCTAAATTAGATGGGCAACTATTTAAAAAAGAAAAAAAAGAGCAACTAGAATTCTACAAAAAGGTAATAGTCTACTACTTTAAAAACTGAAGATTTATGAACAAATTCAATGTTTAAGTATTATATTCTGATTGAAATAAAGGTGTTAATTTCTTGTCTTTGTACAATCACAATATTTTATATCTATTTAATAAGTCATATACCTTATTGACACCCAAGTTAATATCTCATAGTGAAATTTTATAATGAAGAAAAATGCAAAACTTCTAATGTACCACTCCCTGGTTTTGCTACCACAGAGGGTGGAGAAGTGAAAAATGAACAATAATGAGGAATACACTAGTTAAATTTTAATTGCTAATTTGAAAACTACAAATTTATTTCCTGATTTAAAGTAATTCTATAAACTATCTGCTAGCTTTTTCTAGTAGTGTATGTGATTACAACATACAAAATGTAATATTATATCACAAAAAATAAACCTCTTAATTTCTTTTCTCTCCAAATTTTGGCATTAAATAACTTGTGGATTTTTATAATTATGCTTTAAGTTTTAAAAATTGAATTAGTGTGATTATTTGGGTTTTAGTTATTTTCTCAGATTGTATCATAATTAAGCCTATAAGGATAATTGGTGAAGAGATAATTTCACAAACAAATTTTCAAAAGCATACAAGATTAATTCATATGCTGCTGAGATGAGGCACAAAAAAGAAGCATTACTGAGATAATCTATGGCTAAAATGATGGTGTATGACTTATGATTAAGCTTCATTACCTGCAGAGCAAGGGGCTTCCATCTCATATTTTTCAGTAAAGCTGGTGCTGAGGTAAGCATGCTCTGAGGTCGCTTTTTCAAAGTTAAGATAACACCACTCGGGTCCTCTCGTAGTGCATTCACCAAATTTTTCAACTGCCACCCCACCTGGTAACCAGCAAAATCATTACAATAAAATTGAGGTACAGCACTCAAAGATTTAATGTTCTCCCCCTTTAATAAGATTAGTAAAAAAGAAATCACATAATTGGAGTATCATCCTACCTATTTTCAGGATATAGTCAAGAAAGAAGTTTTATATTTGAATTGATTAACCATATTATTGCATTAGAGTCCATATAATTATGAGACACCATAATGGACATTTACCATATCAAAGCGGAGACTAAAATATATTTTGCCATCGAAGTGATTTGGAATATAAAGAAATTATATTGCCGTTAAAACTGCTTAGCTGCTAAGTCTAGGTCCAAGCTCTTCACAAGTACAATTTAAAAGTTCACATGCCAGAAAATAATGAGTTGGCAATGCCCTGAACTAACAAACCACACCACATGCTTTCTCATCACCATCTTTTAGAGATATGTGATTATAAGCGTCTTTAAATTATGACATTTATTGTGCTACCAATAGCAGGTACGAACACACCAAGGAAACATTCTAATGCAAGGACAGCAGCATCAGTGAAATCAACCTTTATCATGTTATAAAGATAGATTTAAAAATGACATGGTAGTGTTAATTCAGTGTAGCATTATTGAAAATGTGTTCCAAATAACCCTATAAGTTTAATAAATTGTGTGCTAAATTTAATGAAGTCATTTTATTTAAATACCAACTCAAAACAATTAAGTCAAATAGTAAATGATTTGAAAACTGGCTTAGTGAATATTCATGTTAAATTATTTCACTAATCATCCTTAAAAATTTAAACATAGAAGAATTTTTGTTAGTTTGCTTTTACGATGGATTAGTGATGCAGTATCAGGTAATTAAGGTCCCAGAACTGGCTAGTTAAAACTGATCGTTTTAAAGAAACATTAAAAATCAATTATTGTATTATTTGTTTTTTAAAATATATTTCATATTAATAATAAATATTAAAACAGAGAACCTTTTATCTGAAGTCTAATACAAATATACTGGGTCAAAATTTAAGTTGGATTGCAAAAATAATTCAGCAAATGTTCTAAATAGTGATATAATTACTTGTTAGGCACCCAAGGTAAATAGATGTATTGTGTGTACTCCTCATCAATGTTTTGCTTAGAAGATATTACTCAAGCTGGAAAGAATAAGCACTTCACCAAATGAAGCATAGATCTTAAGATACTATGAAGAATTAATCTCAAATGTATCCATTGTAGTTTTATGGCAGATTTTTGATGTATTTATTAAACATTCTCAAACTGATAAATTCAACCACAGATGAACTGAGTGAAGACAAGCCATGACAACAAAACAAAGGTGATTCAGTACTCAAAATCTTGAATATTTGGCTGTGGATCAAAATGGTTACTATGATAAATAAGAGGGTGGCACTTTTGAAAAAAACATTGCTGATCAACTTGTATTATGGAACCAGCCAAATGCTTCCTACTTTCTATAAGAGGGGATTGTTACATATCTTACAACCATTCTGATATCTGATATCCCTCCGATAGCTAAGTAATATCCTGATAGCCATTTGTACAAGCTAAGAGACAACATAAGTGAATGTAAATATTCTTGCTCCCCAAATGAAACCTAATATAGAACTACAAATTTGAAGGAAGACAAATTCTTCATACAAAATTTATAAACAATTTATCAATGATAATCATACCCAATGTAGTAAATTAATCAGTAATTAAATAAGCAATTAAGAACTGATAGTTTTCAACAATTCACTGCACATTTATTTCTGTTTAGAGTTTCTCCCTATTTCACTCTGTAGAATCACTGTGCATAGTTTAATACATTTATATACTTATATATTTTTGACATAGGGTCTTGCTATATAGTTCTGACTGCCCTTGAATGTGTGACCTTTTGACAATATTCTTGCCTCTGCTTCACATGTAGTTGGATTACAAGACCAAGGTGGGTTTAGTTGAAGACCTTTAAAGTTGCATGTCTTCCTGTGAAATATTCTGTTCAATTAATTTGTTCTTTTCTGTTATACTTTCTGTATACTTTTTAAAGTAAATAATTAAAAACAGAATTACTTGTCCACAAGAAAGTGGAATTGTTTCTGGCAACAAAATTAACTTGAATATACTTTAATTTTACCTGAATGTTATTTAATTTCCAAATATTTGAGCACATAATTTGACTACGTTTTAACCAATCTACCTACTATCACTTAAGATAATGTCATTAATAGTTTCAACAAAAGCAAAAAACGTATATCAAGAACCATGTGTAGTAAATATGCTTGGCTTACAAATTCTATTTTCATTATATGAAAGATCAGGCTAAATATGTAACACTCTACAATTGTGTATGGAACAAAATAAGTCTCATGTTGGTAAAAAAAGAAGCCTTATTTTTGTTAAAAATGGATATACATCTGGAAGACAGAGTGAAATATAATATCATTAGTGATGACTATATTAAGGGGAATAATATACTTTCTTTTTATTTCTTTAAATTTTACCAATATATTTTTGAACATTTTAAAAACAAAATATACAAGGTTTTAGTGTGCAAATAGTAGTATTTTAGTAGGATACTTTAAATTTCATAAGCTAATCAGAAGAGTTTACTATGAATGAAAAATGTGTACTCAAAGCACAGAGTTAGAAAGGCAACTAACTACACTCAAACACCAATAGAAATGGGAAATGAAATCTTCTTGAATATTGCATTTTAGATAACTAGTAAAAACAAATACAACTTTATTAAACATGTGTGCTCAATAAGGACTACATTGATTTTTTTATTCCATGGCTCATTTTCATTAGACACATCTCTTAAGCATTAGGTTCATTTATAACAATTCTGGAATGGAAATGAAGCCCGAGGAATAGTTTACATAGAAATATTGTAATTGGATGTGATGGTTTTATCATTTTAATGTCTATTTCCTAGGCCTTCTTTAGAACTTATAATTTCAAATTATTTCATATCTTTAGCTCCTATTGTTTTATATTGCAATACTTAACAATTGTCTTTACTTTATTAGCAATTATGGTATGTTCTTACAACTTCAGGCAAAATGATTTCCAGATACGGTCTGTGATATCATCACATTCTTGTAATCATATAATGAGGTACAAAGAATTCTTGAAATAGATTTATTACCCTTTACCTTATTGAAATAGTTATAGTTGACAGATAATAAGAGAACATGGATAGAGGGTGTGACATAAGGCATATATGTGTGTTGCAGTTCTAAGAAGGTTGATATCCTCTATGCAAAGAGCTAAATGTAAGCATACAAATGTCAAAATAGATAAACCACACAAATGAAAGTTAATCACTTTTTTCAAGATTAACACTCCATTTTCTAATTTATATGTTTTTGACTAGCTTCAAAATATCATGTGTGACAGACTTAAATGGTAGAAATCATATATAGTAATATGGAAAAATAATGGCATTCTTTCCACTGGCTTCTGAGTTTTCATGTAGTAAGACATACAGGGAGCTTGAAGAAGTGAAGAGAAGACATCCTAAAGTCTACTATTATTAACAGTATAAGCCACCAATATTGGAAGGAATCAAAGTATAGAATTAGAGATAACAGGCTATGAATAAACATGGAAAACTCCACTAATAAATCAAGCAATATGAAAAAGAACTGCTTGATTTGTGAAACAGTGAGCTCAACATCAATAATTTCAACATTTTCAATAATTTTGCAGTTCAAATGATTATAGAACTTCCAAAGTCACAATGTATTACAGCTCTAACAAGAGGGTTTGGGGTAAAAAAGATAAGGACAGATCAACCTGTGCAGAGGTATATGGTCCTGCTACATCTCTGCCTCCTTGTCCTCTCTCTGTATAAGCTAATTTTTCATGTTGTCTTGTTATAATAATCTCTTCTCTCATAATTGTTTCTATTAATGACTTCCTACATATTATACCCAAATCCTTTGAACCCTTTCTGTTTATCAAGTGCTTCAGTCACATACTCTAACTGTGGTGCTAATACCTACCAAATAATCACACACTAATAATTCAGTGAAGTAGACTCTTTATATTTATATGAAATTATCTTAATTTGTATTTTCCTTCTTACAACAGCTCAATGTAGCAAATATTCAGGTAATTTTACATGTAATGAAATGGAAATAAAAATGATTGGGTGGGGGGGCAAGATTACAAATTAAATGGTAGAGACAAGAATTTATATTCATGTGATTTCAGTTGTATCTTCATTCAAATATCTTCTGGCATTTCAAATGAAATCGTTTTTCTAAAACATTATCTCCCTTTTATTTTTCATTGGCTACCACTACCAACAATTTCCATATAATTCTTTCAAGTTTGGATTCACCTATGGATATTTACCCCTTTTATCTGCATGTGTATCTTGAAAAGATCCTGGCAATTATCATTTCTTTTGATTGTATTAATTCTAGACAGGATACTTACTTGCTAGATTTAAACGTGAGCTGTAACCAACCTTCTTCTAGTCTTTTACATCTCTACAGTACTACTATATGCAAATGTTTCCTTCCTTTCAATGCTTTTAAATTTCTCCAAGTTATAGCTTTTCTTCTCTTAACTATGGCTCTCAAATGTGAGTTTATATTAAACACATCTACAAAGCTTGCTTTCAATGACAAGACTGCTGAATTTTGCACCAGAGATTCTGATCCAGTAGTTCTGGGGTAGGAGCCTAATAATTTGCTTTGCTTTATAAATCGAAGTTTCCATATGATACTGATCTTACTTTCTCTTGGCCTGGAAATCATACTTTGAAAACTGCTAAAGTAAATGATGAGATCCCTGAAGATAGTGACTTGCCAATGCCTACAGCATTTTATATGCATTTAAGACCAGACATAACTTAAATCAGTATTTATTGAGTGCCTTACAGTATGGTTATAATGGGGACTGTAACATAATCTGTGGAGCATTAAAGAACATAATGACCACAGGAAGAGATGAACAGGTAAACAAATACTTATATCAAAATGAAGGAATTTCTTCATT